GGGATATTATTGATGCCAAACAACAGTTATTCGGTGACAGCGCCTCCAGAAACCCGGTTGGGGGCCACGAGTTGGCACTAATTGACTATTTTATTTCAATCGAGATATTTGAGGAATTAGTGAAAAGCCTAAACTATTTGCACACTTTGGACACACCTATTATTCATAGAGATCTAAAACCAGAAAATATATTACTTAAGGATTCAGTGGACGATAATAATAAGCAGTTCCTGAAAATATGTGACTTCGGGTACGCAAAGACTCATAACTATAGTGGACAGTCACATACTAAGGACAAGGGCTCTGTTTCCTATATGGCACCCGAAGTAGTCCGTAGTAGACATTATGACCCGAAGTCCGATATCTATAGTTTAGGACTCATTTTTGCGGAACTCTTTGATGTGAACGCCTATAAGTAAATACAATTCTCTATTAGTATTAATTAACTAATTAATTTCAATTAATAATAAATTAATTACTATATAAATAGCTTCGAGAGATCAATAAAAAATAAATTATTGCGAGAAAAATATGAACTCCTGGAGGGACCGCTTCTGGAGATGCTAACAGAGCCACAATACGACTTGAGACCTACCTGTGCTAAACTGTTGTCCGTAATAAATGGTTGGCGATTAACAGCAGTTGAGTTAATAACAATACAGACGTACTCTGATACAATCAAAATGTTGGACACTTTTAAGAAAAAGTTTTTCCATAACTTTCTCGTAACTAAACTTAATGTTAAACTCGAGTCGAGCAATGAGTCCAATAATTATCAATTGGGAAGTGATGTCAAAAATGAGGAACAGTTGGAAACACCTATTGAACCATCATTTTCAAGAAAATCAAGTTTTGCTAATATTCTGGATATGGATATAGAAGAGGGAGATATCATTCAGATTTACTTTAAGGATAAAGTAAAAGATGGGGTCACCATTTGGGCCCTTTATGTGGGCGAGGGTTATGTCATGTATTACTGTCCTAAAAGTCAGCAATTATTGAGAGACAAACTCGAGAACGTGTCTAAGGATAAGAACTATTGTGTTAATAATTTAATACAATTTTCACAATCAAAACAACTGTCCGTTCAAAGCGCCGACACTATACTGGCGACGGCTTTACGAGTGTTCAATAGGAATGAAACGTTTGATCCAAAGGTTGAGACCAAACATAACCTGAGAATACATTTCGTTACGAAATGCCGGTTCGGACGACAGTTTTGTGAGCGGTTAGAGTGTAAGGAACAGGTGGCCGGACATGAAGTGAATATATTTTAACTTTATTTTATTTAAACATTATTTGAAATAATTAAATAAATAAAAGTTTGCAACAAATGTGTGTATTGTATTACTTGAATAAAGATTTATTATGACTTTAATAGTCTCAATGATTTAGATAAAAGTAATTTTATTATGTAATCAGAAAACATTTTAATTTTATAATTTCACTTGTAAACTGTTTATAGAATCTGTAAATAAATGTGCTTTCAGCAAAAAATATACATATATTTATTTATTTAATCGTTGATATGAATTTCAAATTTCTCACAATTTAATTTATGTTTTTATTATTCATACCAAATACGAGGTGTTTGATGGAGCGATGAATATAACAGACATAGCCACTATTGAGGGCAAATATCATGGCGAGTTTAATAATCTAGACCAAATTGGCACCGGTAGTTTTGGTCAGGTATACAAACTGGAGCGCAAGTCTGATAAAACTATACACGCCATCAAAATCATCCAAATATTGGCCGATAGTAAGATTTTATTTTTATTCACAACATACACAATCAATACCGTGTATACCAAAAAATACTGTATTAACAATAATTGTATAATTTTGTAAAGATATAAGTCATGAGAATTACGAGTCCATTATTGAAGAGTGTCAGCTATTATCTAAAGTCAACAGCGATTTTGTGGTTGAGCTCAGAGACGCCTGGATTGAGGGCCAGAAAGTGTATATTCAGACAGAGTTTTGTGACAATAATCTTCGGGATATTATTGACGCCAAAAAACAGCTCTTCGGAGACAACACCTCAAGAAACCCTGCTTTGAGCCCCGAGTTGGCACTCATTGACTATTTTATTTCAGTGGAAATCTTTGAAGAATTAGTGAAAAGTCTAAACTATTTGCACACTTTAAACACACCTATCATTCATAGAGATTTAAAGCCGGAGAACATTTTGCTTAAGGATTCAGTGGACGATAACACTAAACAATTCCTGAAAATATGTGACTTCGGGTACGCAAAGAATCACTATTACAGTGGAAATTGTATAATTTTGTAAAGATATAAGTCATGAGAATTACGAGTCGATTATTAAAGAGTGTCAGCTATTGTCTAAAGTCAACAGCGATTTTGTGGTTGAGCTCAGAGACGCCTGGATTGAGGGCCAGAAAGTGTACATTCAGACAGAGTTTTGCGACAATAATCTGCGGGATATTATTGACGCCAAAAAACAGCTCTTCGGAGACAACACCTCCGAAAAGCCTGCTTTGAGCCCCGAGTTGGCACTAATTGACTATTTTATTTCAGTGGAAATCTTTGAAGAATTAGTGAAAAGTCTAAACTATTTGCACACTTTGGTGTGTGGATAGTAAGTATCTCTAAATTTCGGCCTCTTGTAAAACGAATTCCTAAGTCACCTGCTATTGTGATTTGTTAAGGACTTTTATACACTGAAGCCCATGCGTTTCTTAGTGATAATGTCACCACAGTCACATACTAAGGACATTGGCACTATTACTTATATGGCACCTGAAGTAGTCCAAAGCAAATATTATACTCCGATGTCTGATATCTATAGTTTAGGACTCATTTGTGCGGAACTGTTTGACGTAAATAGTTATTGGTAATTGGAAATACAATTTCACATAATTAGTTTCTAATAAATTATTTTCATATTTAATAGTTTTGACAAAAAAATTAAAGATAAATTGTTTAAAGAGAAATACGAGGTCCTAAGGGAACCACTACAAGAGATGCTAACGTTCCCTGCTTGCGAGCTAAGGCCTACCTGTGCTAAACTGTTGTTCATAATAAATGGGTGGCGACTAACCGATGTTGAGTTAATAAAAATACAATCATTTTCTGATACAATCAAGTGTTTGGAAAATTTCGAGAAAAAGTTTTTCCATAACTTTCTCATTACTAAACTCAAACTTAGACTCGAGTCCAGTAATGAATCCATTTATTATGAACAGGTAAATGAGTGTATTCAGTCTCTAGTCAACCTTTATGGTTTACACTGTAGTAAAAGTTCTTTACGTTCAAAAAGATTATAAGCACTACACCTACAGCTCCTGCAGCTTCTCCCTTCATATCATGTCTAATTCCTATCCCAGACCATTTGGGCCCTTTATGTGGGCGAGGGTTATGTCATGTATTACTGTCCTAAAAGTCGGGAATTATTGAGAGACAAACTCGAGACAGTGTCTAAGGATAAGGACTATTGTGTTAATAATTTGAAAGAATTTTCGCAATCAAAACAACTGTCCGTTCAAAGCGCCGACACTATACTGGCGACGGCTTTACGAGTGTTCAATAGGAATGAAACGTTTGAACCAAAGGTTGAGACCAAACATAACCTGAGAATACATTTCGTTACGAAATGTCGATTCGGACGACAGTTTTGCGAGCAGTTTGAGTGTAAGGACAATATGGGGACAGACCATGAGATCAATATATTTTAAGTTTACATTTTTATTAACATTTATCAAATAGTTTTTATGTTCATATTATATTTTTTGTTAAACAAATTAATACTATATAAAATATTTAATTTATAAACTATATAGAGTCTATTATTAATTAAACAGTAAAATTAAGCTTGATATTGTGCTAAAATAAATGCCAGATACATGTACAGTACCGTTTGTGTGCATAATTATAATAAACATTGAAGTATTAAACAATGTTAATAATAATTTTAATTGTATTGCCTCATATTTATATTATTTTGTAAAATTGATTTTATCTTATATCATAACTTTTTAATTAACTAATACTTTGTTTGGTGAGACTTCAAAATTTAAACATTAATTTAACGAAAATCATATCAATTATCTCTTAACATCTTAGCTTTGATAATGGTCTCAATGTAGACCGAAAAAATTGGCTATTATTTTATTTTTATAAAAGTTTAATTCATTGGACGCATGCATTCAGTAATTATAAACACGAGACATTATTATTGCTACTTAAATCAAAATTATATTATTTGGATTCAAATAATAGAAATTTAGGTGTTGTTAGTAATCATAGTACTCTTAACAGATTTAGTGAGAAATAATGTTTAACTCACATAAATGGAAATGTTTTAAAGAGTTTCTATCTGATTTCATATATTTCATATTTCACATGTCTGTCGAGAATTTAGTAGGTTTAGCGGGTTTCCGACCACCGCCCAGACCTACCTATAAACTGGGACGGGTACATCAAGTTTATGATTTAGATGAGGATTCATTTATTATGAAACAATACATTGAATTAACACAATATTCTCGTACTTTTATAACAAACTATAAATACCGTGTAATTCAAGAGCTTTTACATAAACGCCAGACAACCGGACAGTTGGAGTGGTTTTACACAAACTCCTCGTCAGGGAATCGACTCTTTTGTGTATTATTTAAATTTAGTCGTAAGCCAGCGGAGAATAAGGACAGGTATGTCGTAACACGGCTTTCAGTTTACTTTTTATAACATGTATTTTACAATTCAGATACACAATAGTCTACAGCCACTCAAATGGTATGGATTTAGGACCCTGGTTCAGGTATTTACGGCGCTTAGGCAAGAGATGTGAGAGTAATGTCTTTGCCTATGAGTACTCGGGTTATGGACTGANTTGTTAATACAGTATTTTTTGGTATACACGGTATTGATTGTGTATGTTGTGAATAAAAATAAAATCTTACTATCGGCCAATATTTGGATGATTTTGATGGCGTGTATAGTTTTATCAGACTTGCGCTTCAGTTTGTATACCTGACCAAAACTACCGGTGCCAATTTGGTCTAGCTTAATAAACTCGCCATGATATTTGCCCTCAATAGTGGCTATATTAGTCACATTCATCGCTCCATCAAACACCTCGTATTTGGTATGAATAATAAAAACATAAATTTAATTGTGAGAAATTTTAAATTCATATTAACGATTAAATAAATATATGTATATTTTTTGCTGAAAGCACATTTATTTACAGATTCTATAAACAGTTTACAAGTGAAATTATAAAATTAAAATGTTTAAACTAAGATCCTTTTCTCATTACATAATAAAATTACTTTTATCTAAATCCTTGAGACTATTAAAGTCATAATAAATCTTAATTTAAGTAATACAATAGACACGTTTGTTGCAAACCTTTATTTATTTAATTATTCGTTTTTAATTATTTTGTTTAAATAAAATAAAGTTAAAATATATTCACTTCATGTCCGGCCACCTGTTCCTTACACTCTAACCACTCGCAAAACTGTCGTCCGAACCGGCATTTCGTGACAAAATGTATTCTCAGGTTATGTTTGGTCTTAACGTTTGGTTCAAACGTTTCATTCCTATTGAACACTCGTAAAGCCGTCGCCAGTATAGTGTCGGCGCTTTGAACAGACAGTTGTTTTGATTGCGAAAATTCTTTCAAATTATTAACACAATAGTCCTTATCCTTAGACACTGTCTCGAGTTTGTCTCTCAATAATCGCTGATATCTAGGACAGTAATACATGACATAACCCTCGCCCACATAAAGGGCCCAAATGGTGACGCTATCCTTTACTTTATCCTTAATCTGAATGATATCTCCCTCTTCTATATCCATATCCAGAATATTAGCAAAACTTGATTTTCTTGAAAATGATGGTTCAATAGGTGTTTCCAACTGTTCCTCATTTTTGACATCACTTCCCAATTGA